AATAAGCTGCACAAATAGTTGAATAGAAACATTGAAATAAAGTAAAAGCATAGAATTAAAAGAATACACACAAATATGAACTTATTTCATAACATTTAAATGTATACCTTTTAAAATTTTGCTAAGTGTGCCATGACATTTTCATTTGCTCCTCGGTGTGCCATTGCTTAAAATGATTGAGAGACACTGCATTAATGTCTTGATTATAGTGTCACTACAAAACAGTTTTGCAAACTTGTCTTCATATCTTAACAGACAAAAGTTTTTTTTTGGTATTAATTTCTCATTCTTGTTCAGCATTTATTGGGATCCAACAGAAAAAAAAAGATTATTTCATAGTAGAAGTTCAAACAAAACAGGAAAGCTAAAGAATATACTGGCTGGAATAGTCTTAGAAACAACAAATATATTTTTTAAAATACATGGAATCAGCACTTGTTGGTCCTGAAATTGGAAAAATGTGATACTAAAAAATTAAGTTAGTTTATATAAATTTAAACTGATTATTTTTATCAGAGTATATAACAGAAATACATTTACCCATGTAAAAATGATCTTATGATTGATATATATATATATATATATATATATATATATATATAAAATCTTGGAATTTGGCTTTTAATGAGACCAACAAATATAATACAAGAAATATCCCTTTCTAATAATCTTCACAAGTACTATGATTAAAGTAAACAAACTCTTGTTATTTTTCAATAAATTTTATTGAAAATAAACCAACAATTTATTATTTCATATTCCAATAAGCAATTAAAGTGCATCAAAAGTATTAAAAAATAGTCAAAAAGACTATAATTTTACTATATGAATATATCATTGTCAATACTGTTCAACTGTGCTTTTTATTTCAGATGTTAAAATGACAGATTCTGGAACTTTAAGGTATTATTTTAAACTGGGCCTCAAAGCTTCTAAAGTTAAGTGGAAGGAAAAGGTAGTATCTGACCATGTTACTCAAACAAGTTTAAGCATTTTAAAAAGTAGGCTGATTTGTCCCTTGATATAAAGTCCAAAAGTAAACAACCGTGAATTGTTTGAGCAGGATGCTTTAAAAATTCAAACTTATAGAGAGAACCTGACCATTGTTATGCAGAAAATATAAAAATAGTTAAGACCACTGAAGTATAATTTTGTAGAGCATTACATAAGCTTCAAAAGCATAAAAAAAAGAAAAGACAGAAAAAAAGAAAATACTTTTGATACACCCTAATACATTAAAAAGAAAAATGCTGAATAACAACAATACAATCATAAAATGATGAGGATTTGATTCACCACATGATTCAGTTAATAAAAAAAAAATCTCAGTTGAAAAAAATGTCTAATTCAAAATTTTTGGTTCAATTTTGTAAAAGATAACATGTAATTATATTAATTAGCAATAAAAATCTGAACATAGAACAACCATTAAGAATTTTAAAAAGTTTTACTGGCATTTCTACTTTCCAACCACTTTAATAGTTGTATATAACACAAAAATAAGTTTACAGGTTTTTAAATTTATGAAAATTGATTGAGAAATGTAGTAAACAAATGTTAATATTTTCAAAATATGTTTAAAAATAACGGAACAATGTTTAATATGTAAGAATGATTTAGAATAAGAAAAAAAAAACTTGCTGTATAAGAATAGTTAGCATAATAGCCTCTCAAACAATTGTTTCTGTATAGAGTTAAATTCTCATTGGGGTCCCTACACTCTATAGTAAAGAGCTAATTATAATAAATATTATCAAGAAAACAAATTTGACACAAAGTGACATGAAATGTATTTTTTCTTTTTAGAAATGAAAAACAAGTTTATATACATAGTCAGGCGAAAACAAATTTCATAGGAGAAATTTTGCTTGAAAGCATGAAATTTGGCTCTGCTTGACCATCTATCTCTTTATGGCCAAAATAGTAGTATAGATGCACTGGGTGAAATGGTGGCTTTTCCTACCATGAGGGAGGCAGTTTTGATTCCTGATGATGAGCTCAAATGTTTACTTAAGATTCTGAAAATTTCAGGCCAGTAGGTGAAAATAAATATAGTGTTTAATATTTAAATGGAGCATCTACTTAAATACTAGTATCCACTAATAATAACATTTAAAATATTTCCAAGAGGATAGAATCCAGGTACAACTCAATGTCCAGGACAGAGTAAGAATATAATATAATATAAAAGGCTCAAACACTAATATTCATATTCCATGGTTATAATTTATTAGATTAGAATCGTAATCAAGATCCAATTTATCAGGCCTATATATATATATATATATATATATATACACACACATATATAAAATTACATGTGTATACATGTAACATCTGCAGTGTTTTTAAAGTTATAATTTCTTGTTTCAGGACTTTATTGATAAAGGTATTAGTCCAAAATAAACTGACAAATGAAAATCTGTTGACTAAATTGCACTGTTTAGGAAACTCAGGTAATTTACAGTTTTCAGAATAAGCAGCTTTCTAAATAAACTATTTTTTGTTTAACCTGAATTCATTATTCTGGAAGCATTTTTTTAACATTTGAAAAAAAAACTTAATAAATCTTTTAAAATATGTATCAGAATCAGAGAACAAAAATGACTTGAGATGTAGTTTCTCTCAATATGAATAGAGTTCTCATCAGTAAAATACATTATTTTACTACATTTTATTATTGTTACTTTTTATTACAATAGTCTTCAAAAGTTAAAAAGCAACAACAAAAAGATGGAGTAAAATAGGTAATAAAATAATAAGAAATGCTTTTTTTTTAAAAAAAAAAAAAAAAGATGAAAATTTTCTGATCCAATGAAAAAAACTTTGCTGAATTTTCCAAAATGTCAAATAATGATGTCAAAAATAGTTATTGAATCATACTACAAATAGAAGACCAAGTAATATAAAAAAAAGAAAACATTGCTTAAAAATAAAGATGCTATTATTCCTCATTATGAATTAAATTGAAAGGGTTGTTTGAAGAATCCCAAGCAAGATCCACAAATTCATTCTTCTTGCCTTTTTCTAATATTTGAAGTTTGATTGTTGGCTCTGAATCTTTGTTTGTGTCATCTGAATCTTTTTTCAAATCGCTAACATTCGTGACACACAGCCTGATGCAGCAACCTCTTTTAATAAGTTCTCTTTCATGTGCAAGAGCAAGTTGAGACACTACAAGTCTCTCCACCTCATGTTTGATTGAGCGAGCTCCATAATGTACATTATAGCCACTAGCCAAAACGTCAACAACAAGATGATCCCAGATCAATTCAATATTATGTTTTGCTTTGGCTCGACTGGCCCAGAATTTTAGTTCTTTAATTACAAGCTTACTAAGCTCAGCTTGTGAGAATGGCAGGAAATAGACAATTTCATTAATCCTTCCTAGAAATTCATCTCTCTTAAAATGTCTCTTGAGAATTGGGCGAACTTCTTCTTCCTTGAACTTCTTAGAGATGACAATTTCTGAAACTTTTATATCCTCAAGATTATTTGAATGTTTCTGCTTTGACACTTCTGCTGCTTCTTCCCGCAGCTGCAAAGCATGACTAGCAATTTCATCGTTTGCTAAATTTGAAGTCATAATGAACATCGCGTCTTTGCACTCAATGGTCTGCCCTTTGCCATCTGTTAATCGGCCTTCATCAAATAACTGGAGCATAATGGTCAAAATATCCGTGTGAGCTTTGTCCACTTCATCAAAGAGAACCACAGCATTTGGACACTCAGTTAACTTCTTAGTCAACTGACCACCTTCTTCATGTCCTACATAACCAGGAGGGGACCCAATGAATTTGGCTACTTCATGTTTCTCCTGATATTCAGACATGTCAATACGGACAAACCCCTTGGAGACATCTTTGTGAAGATACTTAGCAACTTGTTTGGCTAGTTCCGTCTTTCCGATCCCAGAAGATCCGAGAAAGAGAAACACTAAGGGATGATCTTCATCATACCAGCCATTTTCTTTCCTTCGAATGGCAGCGGAGACATTATTGATTGCTCCTTCCTGACCGATTATGTGTTCCTTAAGTCTTTGCTCAAGTGGGAACTTACGTCTCTCTTCCAATTCCCTCTTCTTCTTCATTTCTTCAAATTTCTGCTCGTTCTCCTTCAGAATATTCTGCAATTGGGGAGTCCGGGCATAATCATAGGGTTTGTGACCGAGAACATTCTCGGCCGAGGGATTCGCGCCTGCGTACAGTAACTGCTTAACAATGTCAATATCGTCAGCCAGTACAGCATAATGAAGAGCCGTGCATCCTTTGAAGTTAGCCCTGTTGCTCAAACGGTCACTAAACTCATCTTCCCTCATGATGACCACTTGCAAAGAGTGTATTCGTTTTTCCCTCGCTGTCTGCATGGCGTTGCTAAACTCGTCACCAAGTTCCAGATCAGCACCGGCTTTTAGAAGTAAACCAATTGCCTCGCTGTTGCGATTCATGGCGGCCAGTTGTAGCGGCGTCCAGCCAAGCATGTGCCTTTTGTTTACATCTACTCCTTTTTTTATCAATCGTTCCAATTCGCTTGCATTAAGCTCCTTGATTGCTTTCAGGAGTTTGTCATTGTCAGTAGAACCACGATCCATACACAAGGCTACAGCAACCATAGCGGAAAGACGGGATACGGAGACAGAAGAAAAATTTACAGACGGATTAAACCTTATTTGAGAAAGATATCTACTTTCAGATAGGCCTGATAAATATCTGCGACGAACAAACGTTCGTAAGAATTGTGCTGGCCTTCTTCTTAGAAATAAGTTTGTGAAAAGACGTCCGAATGACGCCATGTTGCGAGTAGATGTCGTCAGATTTAGTTTCTTTAGTTTCTGAGAAGGTCAAGGAGGTTACAGTTTTGTAAAGAACTGTCAGTGTGAATTTAAATTGAAGTAGTTTCAAACAAATGGTTAGTCGAAGATATCCAAAATTATGTTTTCATTACACATTTTATAACATAGAAAATTGGTATATTATACAAAGAAGGCAGAGGACACCTACCCGTTACATTCACAACTCGTGGGCTTTCTGGTTGAATAGCCGGAACCGGTGCTAATCCTTGGACAGGTCATTTTTTGTTTTTCTTTTTTTAGATATACGTTCTCTAAAAAGCGTATTAAATTCGTTTTTGATTTTGATTAATATGACTCAATAAGTTCATAGAAAGATGACTCAAGTATAAATTATTTATAAATATTATATATAGAATATATTTTTTCTAATATCGTAAAATAGAAAGTTTAATTATTAGCGAGGAGAAGTTTTCCTCTTACACCGTGTATATAGGAAGTGGAGCTTTAAAGCTTCGAGTTTCCAGCACGTGTTGAGAACTTCGGTTGTAAATTAGATGTAAGTTATTTGTTTTATTTGCAAAAATTAACGGTTTGCTTTAATTTTATTAATATTGTAATGTAAAGTTATAAATGTGATTTTAATTTAACTACATTTTATAATGTCTCTTTCTTTAAGTTTTATTTTCTTGAAATTTAAAACTATGATCGTGTTTATTCAGAAAATTTTGGAAAATAAAGATACTAGTACCGTATTATATTTATTATTTTTAACACGTTTTTATGTAGCTAACTATCTTACCTCTTTGATTTTGAAGTTTCAATAGTACCATGAGTTAAGACTAAAATATTTGCATAAAAAAAGTTTAAAATGAATTTTTTTTAATGAAAAAAATTCTTGAAGAATTTCATTTAGCTTTAATTGAAAGTTTAATAACTAAATTTGATTTCTATTAATTAAACAATTCTGGTGTATTTCAGATAGAAACTATATACATTTGATTGTCAAATTTAATTTCAAATTTTTAAATTTTCTTAAAAACGGCCATTTTCTTAATTTTAAAAAAACACAAATTTATCGATTTTTAAAATATTTAAAAAATTCTCGTTATTTTAGTAAAATTAAAAATTTAAAGTTAAAGTAATCTGATTTCAGAAAAATATAATATACAACCAATTATTAACGAAAATAAAAGTACTAGATGACCATAAATGACATAATTTTTAATGAAAAAAAAATTATATTTTGAATAATACAATACATAAAATAAAATTATTTAGTGAAATAGTAAATGAAAAAAAGAAAAAATAATTTAAAATTTAAAGTTTAAACTTTTGAACGGAAAATACGACTTTAGTAACGAACGAAATGTTTTGAAAAGGCCACGTAAAGGGACAAAACCCTTAACATCTTAAAAAATGGCAATTTCTGTATATCATACATGGAAATTATTAAGTAAAAAATACAACATAAAAAATTATTTTTCTAAATTTAGAAATTTTTTTTCTAAGTACATAATATCAGGAACGTCTCCTAATTACAGAGCTTTACACGATTTAAAACTGTTTTATTTAATTAAAATTTTTAAAAACGAAAAAAAAAAAAAATTATTCATCAGAAAAAAGCGAACAATAATGTCTTTTTTAATTTACAAAAGCAATAAAAAAATTAGGTAATATCATAGTTTTATTGGATTCATTATTTTCAATTCAGAGCAGATTTTCAGCTCTCAAATTTGTGAAAGAAAATTAGGTTATTTACCATCTTCGAAGACTCCTACTTTTAACAAAAAAAAAATTCAGGATTCAAAAGTTTTTGGGCGAAATTTCATTAAAAGTAAATGTGGGTAACATATTTTAAAAAATATAATTTTACCAAAATTTTCTAAAAAAAATAAATTGATTTTGAATAAGTCCTGAAAATTTCATTAGATTGGACAATTATTTTATTTTTACAAGAATTTCCAAATCAATATGTTTTCAACTAAAAAACGCATAAAAAAACTTGTTATTTTAAACGTCGCCGCGATGACGTCAACGACTTTAACCAAAATTTCGAACGTGTTAGAAAATATTAAAAATTTCAAAAAAATAATTAAAAAATACTTTTTCTTTTCTCTAAATAATAACATAAGCATTTTGACGATAATACTTTATTTTCTTTAAGTTTGTGGCATTTTCAGTTTTTTGTTTTGAAGTGGACATAAAGTTAAGACAAATATGAAAAAAAAGTTTTGTTTTAATAATCTATTTTTGGAAGATTTCTGCTCTCTTCATTAGAAACTGAACTCGTTTTTTTCTAAAATCTCGTCAATCAGAAAAATAAGAGAGACGTCGTTGTGTGCTAGGAATTGTTTTATTGTTAGGCGAAAAAAAAAATTAAAAGGATCCACAAAAATTAAAAAAATAACCCGAAACAGTAGTAGTGCTTACAACTCTTTTTCTGATATGCAATTCGGATATTTATTATTTATTTTTTTGTGAATTCGGGCAGCGAACTTTCTTTTTTAAGACCTGTTTGTGAATGTATATAAAGAAAAATCTTATAATTCTTTAAAATTAAGCTTTTCTAATGTTCTTACAGTTTTTCTCTTGAAGGATCAAGTGCAGAAACTCCGGTCTATTCAATAGTCGTTTGCAGGTGATCTGTTGTTAAGTTCTTCCAAAAAGAAAACTATAAGATTATTAAGAAAAACTATAAAAACTCAAGATTTTCCTTGTCTGTCACATTCAATGAAATATTTGTATTTTGAGATGTAGATGTCAATAAGTTTTAAATACAAATAGAACAGAAAAAAGAATAATTCAAGAAAACTTAAAGTAGTTACGAGGCTGGGGTCTGAATTTTATGCTTTTTTTTAAATGCACATTATTACAGGACAAAAGATGTGTTCCTCGACAGAGTGCTTAAAATCAAAAAAGGGAACACTCGTAATAGAAGAAAAAAAAAGCGAGGAACCTAAAATAACACACAAAAACATGGAAGGGCCTGAAATATTAAAATCTGAGGTAGATTCAGCACTAGTTGAGGTGAACAGGAAGAAACAAGGCCAGATGGGATTGTAATATCAGCCTTTGATGATTTCAGGAGAAACAAGATTAATATACAACAGTGGTGACATAGATCGACCTTTGTATCGCTGCCTAAAAAGCCAAGTGCAAAAATCAATGTCAATTTTATTGGACAATCTGCTTCTTAATGGATCAAATAATTAAACATATCATCCGGATTCTGATGAGTAAAACACATAGCATAATTAAACTGGAAACTAGACAAGAACAATGCGGTTTCATTAAATAAAGACACTGGAGCATGAAGTGTGATTTTATCATCAAAATAATATCAGAGTGAGCAATACAAATGCAGAAGGAAGTATACCTATATTTCACCTGGAATTTGAATGAAAAAATTCATGGCATTTACCTTGAATCCATCATAAAATTTTTAGAATTGATTTGTTTTTTACGGCTTATGAATTTTTTGCAGATTAATTTAAAGCAAGAAAATATAATTAGATTGTAAAATTTTTTTTGTAGGGAGAGATAATGATTTACTGATACAAGTTCTACTAATTAACCCATAGCTGGTCTTTGCACATAAGTGAACATGACAAACTCAACTGGAATTAGAACTCGGTTCTCTGAATTCCAATTCCGAGCTGTTATCCATTAAACCATCTGCACATCTAAGCTTACAGCATCTAGAATACCAAAGCACTCACCCATCTAGATACTGACCAGACTTGACATTACTTCAGTGTTTGTACAAGAACTGATGTTTTAATGTGATGTAGCCATGAACTTAGAAATTCAGGTTGTGGAATTAGTAAATGTTAAACAGTTCAGATACCTCCATGCGTGAAAAGCTTCATCCCCCAAAAGGAAAGTTGGTTCCCTGTGTCATGCCAGAAAGTTTTTCTCGTCAGAGTCCATCCTTCAAATCTATAAATCAACCATTTGCTCTTGCATAGAATATTTCTGCCATATATGGTCTGGTGCTCCTGCTGTTCATCTTAAGGTCCTCGACAAAATCCAGAGACAGATATTCAATGTGATTGGCCCTGATCTGGCATCTCATCTACAGTCGCTTTCTCACAGACATGCCGTCACCTCCCTCCCTCTTTTCTACAAATACTTTCACAGTAACTGCTTTGACGAGCTACTTTTGCTAGTTCCCAGACTGCATGAATTTAAACGTGCTACTAGGCTGGCATCTCAGTCCCACACGTTCACTGTCGAAACAGTTAAATGTGTCCATCTCTTCTACTCCAATAGTTTCATGTCTCACACCTCTCGCCTGTGGAATTCCTTTCCTATTACTTGTTTCCCTGATAGCTATAATCTCCAACTAATCAAATGTAATGTCAGTTGACATCTCCAGATGCCTTGATCTATTCCTTATCCTTCTCTTCATCCTTTCCTCTATCATGCCTCTTTACCTTTGGTCCCACTCTCTGTAATCCCTTGCATGCTAGTGGCATTTTGCCTTGCTTGGGGTGAAATGCTTAAAAAAAAACATTTAGAATAGGAGCTAAGGAAATTGAACATAGAATAGGCTGCACTAGAGGCAGTTTCAGCCAACACTGTAAATTGCTATAATACCAAAATATTAAGCTGAAAATATAAGTCCTATTCTTAAATAGCTTTGTCAGATCAAAAGTTTTATATGGGCGTCACACATGGCACCAAACCCATTCAGAAATATCTAAAGACTGTCAATTGTATACAACTGATTTCTAAGAATGGTTAAAATGTCTGTGAGCAAGTGAAGTCTGGATCTTAGCTGTAGAGGTGGAATCGAACCTAAGACGCCCAGTTACAAGACCGGAATGGTCTTGGCGTCACACCCCCATAGAAGTAGACTCGCCCGCTTACATGAGAGGCGAGTGGGCTACTTAAACAAGACATTCACGACAACGAGTGGCTTGGCAGATATGCGTTGTCTCGCTGCTACCTTACATGGCGTCGCCGATATAGGAAACCTGCTACAAACAACGTTGGAATATGGACGAACAAACACAGCAGACATTACTTCAACAGCTCATCGAGCTACAGCAAGAGATCATCGCCCCTGCGAAGAGACGGAGGACAGCCGAGAAAGTCACTTACAAGGAGACCCGACAGACCTAATATAGAACTGGACTCAAGTGATGGTGACTGGGCGATATTCATTGACTCCTGGAATAGATACAAGGAGATGTGTGGGTTGGCCAGAGCCAACAGCGTTAAGAAACGAGCTGAGAACGGCCTGTGCCCCAGAAGTGAACAGGCTGTTGTTCGATATGGTAGGAGCAGAAGTACTAAACTCCGTCACGGAGGAACAGCTGTTCGGACACAAAGCTCAGTAGCCGTCAGAAGCCTACAAAGAAGTGTACCGGCAAGAATTCCCTCCGTAAGGCAGAAGGAGGGGGAATCGTTCTGGACCGTGGCACGACTTCCGATCAGTCGCAAAATTCTGCGATTTTTCAGTGACTTGTCCGAACGGGATAGGATGCGGTCGGAAAGTCAGCTACTCAACGATATGGTAGCAGGACAAATGGTGGCTGGGCTGGCAAGCCT